ATAATCGGTCAAAATTTAGATATAGCTCCCATATATATCTTTGTCCGATTTGCCGATTTATTGTGCACCAAACGTGTAATATTAGCCTGAATAGTATAGAATTTGGTATATACAACCAAATTAGGCCTACAAATAAGTATGCCAAATTTGATCGAAATCGGTTCAGACATAGCTATAGCTCCCATATATATTGTTCATCCGATTTGTTATTTTTGTCCTCCGCAGCCGTAATATGCACTCTGTAACAACAATATTTAGGGAAATATATCAAATACAGTTCAGAAATACATTTGATAAATTTTATCGAGATCGGTTCTGATTTGGATATAGCTCCCATATATAACTTCGTCTGATTTACCTTTTATTGTGCACCAAACGTCTAATATTTGTCCAAATGGGATGGAATTTGGCACTTACGACCGAATTGAGTCTAGAAGCTAGTATGTCAAATTTGGTGAAGATCGGTTCAGATATAGGTATAGCTCCTATATATACTGTTCATCCGATTTTTTATATTTGTTACCCACAGCCGTAATGTGCACTCCGTAACAACGATATTCAGGGAAATATATCAAATACAGCTCAGAAATATCCTTGCCAAATTTTATCGAGATCGGTTCCGATTTGGATATATTTTTATCCGATTTCAAATTAATTGTGCACCAAATGGGCAATAAAAGTCCGAATTTAAAAGATACAAATGCTTCGGTGTATTTAGTCCTTTCAACTTTAAATTATAATTATAATCATTGCGTGTATGATTGAATTCTCCCATAAAAACTTTTAATTGTTATGCGGAGCTCTACTAAATTAGAAAAGTGGTGTAGGGTATCGTAAAGTCGGCCCCGCCCAACTTTAAGACTTTCTTTACTGGTTTCCTTTTTAATTAGGCAATGCCAAATGTGATCGAAATATTTTCAGATATAGCTATAGCTCCCATATATATTGTTCATCCGATTTGTTATAATTTTTAATTGTTATATGAAACTCTACTAAATATGCCAAGGGATGTAGGTTACCATAAAGGCGACCCCGCCCGACTTTTAGACTTTTTATACCCTACAACACTATGTGTTGGGGGTATTATAAGTTTGATTGGGCCAAAAATTATGTAACACCACGAAATATTGGTTTCCCATATAGGAATGTATATATGGATCGATCTAGGTATGTATGTCCGTCCGATCGTCTGTCCGTCTGTCCGTCTGTCCATGTTAATTTGTAATCACTCTACAGGTCGCAATTATGGCCCGATCTTCACGAAATTAAGAATGGAGGTGGGGATAGGGCCAGAATAGAACCCTATTTCTTTTGGACATGATCGCATAATATCTAGGGGTTGAAATGGACCAAAAACTGAAAAAAATCTTGATTTTGCAGCTGCTCTACAAGTCGCAATTATAGACCAATCGAAGTTGGCATGTTTCTAGAGCTTAGGACTTGGCAGAACCCTTTCAATTTTGATGGTCATCGGGTAATATTTAGTGGGTGAAATAGGCCACAATATTTCTGTTAAATAAAAGTCAAATTTTCTATTAAACCGCGAATATTTTTAATCCCGGCGAAATTACAAATAGAAGAACAGGTCAATTCTGACCATTACGTAGATGCCGATAGTAAATATATCGGATATATGTAGCGAAATATATGCAATGTGTATATACAAAGGAAGGGGATGTTAGTTAGAATGCTTATATCTCAAGAATGGCTGGACCTATTTTGACAAATTTTGTCAATTCCGAATGCCCTCTTGACATAAAAGTATAAAATCTAAAAAAAATCGCAGAAAAATATGCCAATAAAGATGTTAATATAGATTTTGTATTATTTTGTATCATATTTTTATTTTTTCATATTTTTTATAGAATGCAATTTTTTCAATTTGATCTATAATATTGAAGTGTATATTTTGTAATATTTTTTCACCTTACAACACAGGTTTTTTAATATAAATTGCAATAATCGTCCGATCCTATCGAAAATTTTAACAAGGTTAGGGTTAGGCTCAGAAAGTCTAGGCCTATTGTTTTCAAAGGTGTCCGCAATATATTTAGGGGTTGAAGTGGACCAACAACTCAAAATGTTCCTAATTTTACAGACGTTTTAAAGGTAACAAATGGAAACCAAATCTGACGAAATCTGGTATGAAATTAGAGTTTAGGACAGCGGGTAGTATGGACCACTACTTTTGCGTGAAAAAATACCAACATTTCCATTCTACCGAAACTCTGAAAATAACTTGCATGCGAATTCAAAAATACACAAAAGGCGAACTTCAGGCGTTTTACACTGATTTCGTTGACGAATATAGCCAGATATCGTAGATAAGCAAATCATATAGATGAGACTAAATTTGGAGATACAGAGTAGCCTCTTGCTTTTGGAGATGATCGCCAAATATGTAGGGGTTCAAATGAACCAAAATGAATAGCCATTGTATTATATGTAGCTGTAAAATGGACCACAAAAACTAACAGCACGACGGAATGCGTAAATATTAGGCAAATGTCCCTGGTCAAAATGCTAAGGGTAACATCTGGGCATTGCTCCGTGACATAATTTCAAAAGCGAAATCTTTCAAAATGAATTTGGACATAAGGGTGTTGTACAGGGTTTTGTAACATATTGTGGTGTTGTAGGGTATAACATGGTCGGCCCCGCACGACCATAGCCTTTGCTTACTTGTTTTAAACTATAATTCCAGAATTTTAAAACACATTTTATATTTGTATTCAATGTCTTAAATTTATTTATTGCAGAAGTGCATTTCCCCTCATTTCGTAATCTAATCGAATTAAGTGCATCGCACATTACCACATATACACAACACTTATTTGTATACCTTTTAATATTTGCCATTGAAAATTGAATTGAATTTCAAGTTGTCTGTTATTGGGATATTTGATTCGTTCGTTCGAGTATTTATCAGGACAAATTGGATTCGTGCACTGCAATGCAATTTAGCAAAGATATACACTCACATAAAAATTATTTATAAAAAAAGCGATCAGAATTATTATTGAATACTATCAGATCATTAATTAGGTTAAGCGAAATCAATTCAATTTGCAAAGAAATTATTTTTTTTTTAAGTCTAAAAGATTTTGCATTTTTCTCGAGTGAAACAAGCTAAGGAATTTCAAAGATGAAATAAACTAATACCACAAACTGTAAAGTTATTTTGTATGGATACGATGCTAGTCTATTTCTGCACCAGATGAGTAAATTAACATGTTCTCCTTCAGGAAGTACCAAGGGCTTAAAGGGAGAGATATAAAAAATGGAAGTTTTTTTAAACAAATATGTTTCTTGGAGCCCATTAAGGTATCCTGTAAACTTAGAAGCCCTTGCAGGTCTTCTATAGGCCTAGAAGCCCTTGAAGGTCTTCTATAGGCCTAGAAGCCCTTGAAGGTCTTCTGTAGGCATAGAAGCCCTTAAAGGTCTTCTGTAGGCATAGAAGTCCTTGAAGATCTTTTGTTGGCATAGAAGCCCTTGAAGGTCTTTTGTAGGCATAGAAGCCCTTGTAGGTCTTCTATAGGCCTAGAAGCCCTTGAAGGTCTTCTATAGGCCTAGAAGCCCTTGAAGGTCTTCTATAGGCCTAGAAGCCCTTGAAGGTCTTCTGTAGGCATAGAAGCCCTTAAAGGTCTTCTGTAGGCATAGAAGTCCTTGAAGATCTTTTGTTGGCATAGAAGCCCTTGAAGGTCTTTTGTAGGCATAGAAGCCCTAGTAGGTCTTCTATAGGCCTAGAAGCCCTTGAAGGTCTTCTATAGGCCTAGAAGCCCTTGAAGGTCTTCTATAGGCCTAGAAGCCCTTGTAGGTCTTCTATAGGCATAGAAGCCCTTGAAGGTCTTCTATAGGCATAGAAGCCCTTGAAGGTCTTCTATAGGCATAGAAGCCCTTGAAGGTCTTCTATAGGCATAGAAGCCCTTGTAGGTCTTCTATAGGCATAGAAGCCCTTGTAGGTCTTCTATAGGCATAGAAGCCCTTAAAGGTCTTCTGTAGGCATAAAAGTCCTTGAAGATCTTTTGTTGGCATAGAAGCCCTTGAAGGTCTTTTGTAGGCATAGAAGCCCTTGTAGGTCTTCTATAGGCATAGAAGCCCTTAAAGGTCTTCTGTAGGCATAGAAGTCCTTGAAGATCTTTTGTTGGCATAGAAGCCCTTGAAGGTCTTTTGTAGGCATAGAAGCCCTTGTAGGTCTTCTATAGGCCTAGAAGCCCTTGAAGGTCTTCTATAGGCCTAGAAGCCCTTGAAGGTCTTCTATAGGCCTAGAAGCCCTTGAAGGTCTTCTATAGGCCTAGAAGCCCTTGAAGGTCTTCTATAGGCCTAGAAGCCCTTGAAGGTCTTCTATAGGCATAGAAGCCCTTGAAGGTCTTCTATAGGCATAGAAGCCCTTGAAGGTCTTCTATAGGCATAGAAGCCCTTGTAGGTCTTCTATAGGCATAGAAGCCCTTGTAGGTCTTCTATAGGCATAGAAGCCCTTGTAGGTCTTCTATAGGCATAGAAGCCCTTAAAGGTCTTCTGTAGGCATAAAAGTCCTTGAAGATCTTTTGTTGGCATAGAAGCCCTTGAAGGTCTTTTGTAGGCATAGAAGCCCTTGTAGGTCTTCTATAGGCATAGAAGCCCTTGAAGGTCTTCTATTGACGTTGAAGCCCTTAAAGGTCTTCTATAGACATAGACAAACCATTTAATCGATTCATAGATCTGAAGCCTCTTTAAGGTTCTCTCTTTTCTTCGCGCTACAGTTTTGCCCCCTACTGTAAGTGTATTGGACTTTCCGTTAAAATACCGATAACACTGAATTATTAGACGAGCGTGGGGCCAAGTCGTTTAGATTAATATATGTTAAATAACGAATGCTCCTTTTGTTTAATAATGACTTGGTATATTTGTATTTTGTAAAGCCAATTTTGCGGACAAAATAGAATTCTGTTCTTCAGTATAAATTTTAAATTTCATCTGAGAATAACGCTTTCAGAAAATTCAACGGAAAGAAGTGAAAGAAAATGTTGCAATTAATATTTATTTTAATAACAATTTTCCTACCCATCTACTGGTGGTACCAGAAGCAATTTTCCTATTGGACCCAGCATAAAATGGTGCCCAGTGTGAGAGGCAGTATTTTCAGTGGATGTTTGCTGCAAGCGCTGCGTTTGAAGACAAATTTTGGTTATCACTTGAAGGCAATTTACGGCAGACCGGAATTTGCCCATGAGCCGGTGGTTGGAATCTATGGACTACATGAACCTGCATTGCTGATAAAAGAGCCGGAGCTAATCAAATTGATACTTGTGAAAAATTTCGATAATTTTCATGATCGATTTCCTGAGCAAGATGTGGAACATGATCCAATTGGTGGCCAAGCCTTATTTATGGCTTCCTATGGTATCTGGAAGGAGATGCGCAGCAAATTGAGTCCCCTATTTACCAGTGCCAAATTGAAAACCATGTATGGACTCATACAAAATGTGGCCCAGAATATGGAGGGGTATTTGGAGAAGCAACCACGTGTCCTTCGCTGTGAAATGAAAGAATTCTGTGCCCGTTATACTATTGATATCATTTCCTCGGTGTTATTGGGATTTCAGTCGAATTCCTTGGAAAATCCCTCGGAGGAGTTGAGAAATATTATTCGAAAATTAACGGAATTCACCAGCAGGAGGGCATTTGATTTTGTCATTGCTTTCTTTGTGCCACATTTATCACGAGTGTTTAAATCGAAATTGTTGTACGAAGAAACGGAAAAGTTTTTGAAGACTTCCATTGATCAGGCAATCAGGGAGAGAAAATCAAGTGGTGAGACTCGCAATGATTTGATAGATATCCTGGTCAAGTTGATGGATGAGGCAGAGGAGAGTGGTCGAGATATGTCGCAATTTATGAATTGCCTGTTGGGTCAAGTTGGTATATTGATATCGGGAGGATTTGATACCTCAGCCACAACCATGTCAAATGTTTTATTGGAATTGGCCAAATGCCCGGAAATACAAAAACGTCTTAGAAGAGAAATTCAAGAGAACTTTGCTGGACACGGTGGTCCATCCATATCTTATGGGAATCTTAGTAAATTGGAATATCTAGATATGGTGGTGTGTGAGACTTTACGTTTATATCCGGTCTTGCCAATACTGCAGAGAAGATATAATAAGCCAGCCGGGACCATGGAGCAATATTCTCTGCAACCCTATTCAAATTTCTCGGTGCCGAATGATATGACAATGTTTATTTCCATATATGGCCTACACTATGATTCGAGGGTGAGTTTTGTAAAATTGTAAAAGTGATTTTAGACTTCGGAGACAAGATTTAGAATGGCAAGTGGAGATGGTGTGAAAAAAAATTCCAAGAAAATACTTGATATCTGGTGATACTCTTATATGAAAAAAAGCTAAAAATGGACCGACATGACCCAATAATTCTTGAAAAAACCTAAGACTACCAATAAATTATCAAAGCTCTATATTAAATTTTGTACATGGAAGGATAGGGCTACATAGAGGGTTTAAAACTCGTAAGAAAGTATCAGTCGGTTTTGCCGACAGATGTATACAGTCAGTCAGTTTATTAGAACAAAATATGACTTGCGTTGTGATTATCAAAATTTTGACCCTTTATTGAAATTCCACTGAAGGAGTATGTCAATATTTTCCATTTCGTACCTGGCCCAAGTCGAATATAAATATTACCAAATGCCAGATTTGGAGTAGATGGATTTCTTCCTTTATATGCAACTAGCTGAAATATGTGAAATATAAAATCGGCAGAGAATAGGGTAAATACAGGGTGAGGACCGAGAACAGGGTGAGATAAAAATGCAACAAAACGCTATAATTTTTAATTTTTTTTTAATTTTATTGAATGGAATCAAAAACTGTCGGGAACAGCATCAAATTTTAGAAAAAGTTTAGATTTGTTCGAATTGATCACCTTTGGGACGAATTATGGCCTTCAAACGGCCATACCAATACAAAAGGTAGTTTTTGGCTAGCCCTGCTTTAGATACGACACTAACACAAACAAGTTAAAAAGCAGTAATACCCTCCACCATTTGGACCGAATTTGGAAATTTTAAAAAAATAAAATCCTTAAAAAATTCTGTTAAATTTTAAAAATACCGAATATTGCCGTTATATTGGGGTCTATACGACGTGGACCTACATAGGCATTGTTTGCCATTAGCCATTACCATATTCAAATTCGAAACTTGAAATAAACGGTGAATAATGTAGCTAAAATCATCAAAATATAATATATAGGGAGGTGCCATTATATCGGAGCTGTGTGAATACCTGGACCAGCATAGACAATTTTCAGTTACAGGCTATAGCATCCATTAATAACGTCAAATACGATATCTCAAACAATTTCGGTGGGTATTGTACCCAAACTCGTCAAAATACCGAATATAGGGAGGTACTGATATATGGGGCCTATACGAAGACCTGGACCTGCACAGACATTTTTGTGTCACGGACTGTAGTTCCCATTACGAACTCTAAATACGTAATTTGAAACAATTCCGGTGAATAATGGAGCTAAAGTCATCAAGATACCGAATTTTGGGAGGTACCGTTATATGGGGGCTATACGAAGACGTGAACCTGCACAGACAATTTTCTGTCATAGGCTGTAGTATCCATCACGAATCTCAAATACCAAATTTGAAACAATTCCGGTGAATAATGCCGCAAAAATCATCAAAATACCGAATATAGGGAGGTACCGTTATATGGGGGCTATATGGCACATTTACGAACTTAACCTGGTTTCTGGAAAAATAAACAGGTGTGCAAAATTTTAGCCTTCTGTCACAATTCGTTCGAAAGATAGCGTGATTACAACAGACAGACGGACAGACAGACAGACGGACAGACAGGCAGACGGACAGACAGACAGACAGATAGACAGACGGACAGACAGGCAGGCAGACAGACAGACAGACAGACGGACATCGCTAAATCGACTTAGAATTTTACGCTGATCAAGAATATATATACTTTGTTGGGTCTGACATGAGTATTTCGAGGAGTTACAAACGGAATGACAAAGTTAATATACCCATAGTATGATGGAGGGTATAAAAGTGAAAACTAACCTTAAGTGAATAGAATATTTCATTGGGTTGACAGGTCCTAAAAACGTAACTGGACTTTCGATGTTTCTTTTGGTAAATACTCTTAAAAATACATTTCGTTATTACCTTCTTTTATTTTCCAGTACTGGCCTGAACCTCTAAAATTCGATCCGGAACGTTTTTCACCCCCGAATAAAGCAATGCTGCTGAATTCAATGACATACCTACCGTTTGGTGCTGGTCCCCACAATTGTATTGGAGCTCGTCTCGCAATGCTGCAGTTGAAGTGCGGTTTAGTACATCTCTTGAAACATCATTCGGTTCGAGTATGTGATCAGACCGTACTGCAACCGGAATTTGAAGCTAAAGCATTTATATTGAAAATTAAAGGTGGAACTTATTTGGAAATTGTAAAAGAGACTAACGAATACGGAATAGCGAAATAAAGCGATTATGTGATAGACTTTTTCATTCCATACACTATCTGGAATTTATTAACTTCGAATGTAATATTCTTAAAAAAATATTATACCTAGATATATAACTTATTCCGAGACTTATAGCAAAGGAAAAATAAAATTGTAATTTAAAATAATAATGTTGTTTTTCGGCAAAATTGATTCAAATATTTTGGTGTTATATATAATGTAAATATATATGTTTTGATGTCATCCTCCTAAAAGTAAGTTATATTGAAATATTTTATATAAACTCAACCGGAGTGCCGCTTAAACCCTAAAACATTTTTTTACTATCAGCCATCTGGCTACAGAGGGTATATATCATCCGATGCGGCCAAAACGTGCCTCATCGAAATAACGGTTTTAGACCTTAGGTCTCATTGGACCAAATCCGTTTCAGGACATTCAGAGTCGATCTACGGGGAGAGATAACAAAACTGCAACAAAGTCAAACGCCGTAATTTTTACATTTTTTATACCCTACATCACAAGGTGGTCAGGGTATTATGTCTTTGTGCATTTGTTTGTAACAGACAAAAGGAAACGAGATAGACCCATAGTTCCTTTTGATGATCTGCATAGAATCACTTTCTCAGTTGATTTATGCATGTCAGTCCGTCTGTCCGTCCGTCCGCCCGTCTGTCCAAGTATTTTTGTGAACAAAATGCAGGTCGCATTTATTATCCGATTGAGATGAAATTTTCCAAACAACATTTGTTTGGCCCAAGGACGAACCCTATTGAAATTGGAGATAATCGGTAAAAATTTAGATATAGCTCCCATATATATCTTCGTCCGATTTGCCTTTTATTGTGCACCAAACGTGTAATATCAGCCCGAATAGTATGGAATTTTGCATATACAACCAGAATAGGCCTGAAAATAAATATGCCAAATTTGATCGAAATCGGTTCAGATATAGCTATAGCTCCCATATATATTGTTCATCCGATTTGTAATTTTTGTCCTCCGCAGCCGTAATATGCACTCTGTAACAACAATATTTGGGGAAATATATCAAATGCAGATCAGAAATACATTTGCTAAATTTTATCGAGATCTGTTCAGATTTGGATATAGCTCCCATATATAACTTCGTCCGATTTACCTTTTATTGTGCACCAAACGTCTAATATTTGTCCAAATGGGATGGAATTTGGCACATACGACCGAATTGAGTCTAGAAGGTAGTATGCCAAATTTGGTGAAGATCGGTTCAGATATAGCTATAGCTCCCATATATATTGTTCATCCAATTTGTTGTATTTGTTACCCACAGCCGTAATATGCACTCCGTAACAACGATATTCAGGGAAATATATCAAATACAGCTCAGAAATATCTTTGCCAAATTTTATCGAGATCGGTTCAGATTTGGATTTAGCTCCCATATATATCTTTATCTGATTTAGAATTAATTTTGCACCAAATGGGCAATGCAAGTCCGAATTTAAAAGATACAAATGCTTTGGCGTATTTAGTCCTTTAAATTTTAAATTATAATTATAATCATAGGGTGTATGATTGAATTCTCCCATAAAAACTTTTACTTGTTATGTGGAGCTCAACCAAATTAGCAAAGTGGTGTAGGGTATCATAAAATCGGCCCCGCCCGACTTTAGGACTTTCTTTACTGTTTTTTTTTTTAAATTTTATAACACCATCTGGTGTTATGGCGACCCACACCATCACCATGGCCAGCGCTTAAGTTCTGGTGGCCAACCGAAGGTGGACATTTTCAGCTGACCTCTTTGGCAAGTAAACGCGATCATTTCGTTGGTTTACAAATTGCTGGACAACGAATGTTTTATCATCCGAGAAACCCAAATTCGGCAATTCACCACTTTTGGCCAAGCGAAGCAACTCTTTAGCTCTTTTGAGTTTATTTTCTTTCTGTTACGGTGTAGGTTCTTGCACTTTTTGGAATTTCAATGGCTTTACCCCGAGCTCATTTTTCAATATTTGTCGAATGAAATATTGCGATATGTTCAGCTCATGAGCCATTTTTGGCCAGCGCTTAAGTTCTGGTGGCCAACCGAAGGTGGACATTTTCAGCTGACCTCTTTGGCAAGTAAACGCGATCATTTCGTTGGTTTACAAATTGCTGGACAACGAATGTTTTATCATCCGAGAAACCCAAATTCGGCAATTCACCACTTTTGGCCAAGCGAAGCAACTCTTTAGCTCTTTTGAGTTTATTTTCTTTCTGTTACGGTGTAGGTTCTTGCACTTTTTGGAATTTCAATGGCTTTACCCCGAGCTCATTTTTCAATATTTGTCGAATGAAATATTGCGATATGTTCAGCTCATGAGCCATTTTTGGCCAGTGCAACGCGGGTTTTGATCAAGTCTGCATCTTTATTTTTCGAACCATTTCTGCTGATGCTGCTATTTTCTTCCGTCCACTTCCTTGACGTCGGGCTACGCTATCAGTATTACCAGTAACGAGCGATGGTACGAGACACAAAAGATTTATTCACATTTAAATGCTGGAGCTCTCTATCGATAGCCACTTGTGGTTTTCCAGCCAAATATAAAGAAATCACACAATCCCGCTTGTATTCCATCACGAATAACTTTTTTTCTGGAAAATTCTCATCAAAATGCTTTTGTACGCTTGTAAGCAATATAATGCGCTGTCACTGGAATAATTTTAACAGCTGTCGGACGAGTGGCTTCGAAATGACAGCAGTCTTAAGTTGGTTGCAGTTTTTTCATCTCACCTTGTATATACCAGTCGACCAAGCCGACTGATACTTTTCAAATTATTTTTGTGATTTAAAAAAAAAATGTATTTTATCGGACAGTGTAATTAGTGGTACAAATGTTAGGGGTGATATGGTCATTGATATTAAAATCAATTAGGAAATAATTTCAGCAACTGTTACAATAGAGTGCTTAATTGGAATACCAAGAAAAGCTGGTATATGTGTGTGGAGTGTGAAAAATATATCCCAGGACTAGGATCGAAGGTCACATATATTGAATGAACTTTTTGGTGTACGTGAGCGGTCATGTGCCCTTCCTTCTTAAAATTTGAGAAATATTAATCACATAGTATTATTTACCCTGCAACCAGGGCCGTACGCAGACTTGAGACCTAAGAGGGCTTAGGAACACTATGTGTTGGGTTAGAGCTGAGTCGTTCTAGCTATGTATGTCCGTCCGTCAGTCTGTCCATGTTAATTTGTAATCACTCTACAGGTCGCAATTATGGCCCGATCTTCACGAAATTGAAAATAGAGGTGGGGTTATGGTCAGAATAGAGCCCTATTTCTTTTGGAGATGATCGCATAATATTTAGAAATGGACAAAAAACTGAAAAAAATTCCTGATTTTGCAGTTGCTCTACAGGTCGCAATTATAGACCAATCAAAGCGAAAGTTAGTATGGGGCTAGAGCTTAGGGCGGGGCAGAAGCCTTCCAATTTTGATGGTCATCGGGTAATATTTAGTGGGTGAAATAGGCTACAGCATTTGTGTTAAATAAAAGTCAAATTTTCCATTAAACCGCGAATATTTTTAGTCCCGGCGAAATCACAAATAGACGAACAGGTAAATTCTGACCTTTACGTAGATGCCGATAGTAAATATATCGGATATATATGCGAAATTTATACAATGTGTATATACAAAGGAAGGGAATGTTATTAAGAATGCTTATATCTCAAGAATGGCTGGACCGATTTTGACAAATTTTGTCAATTCAGAATATCCTCTTGACATAAAAGTATAAAATCTAAAAAAATCGCAGAAAAATATGCCAATAATGATGTTAATATAGATTTTTTAGTATTTTGTGACATTATTTTTATTTTTTCATATTTTTATCGCATGCGATTTTTTCAATTTGACTTATAATATTTTTTTTAAATATATTTTCACCTCACAACACAGGTTGGATTTATTATATAAGGATTTCAAATATCGTCCAATCCTCACAAAAATTTCGCAAGGGTAGGGTTGGGCTCAGAAGGGCTAGGCCTGTTGTTTTCAAAGATGTCCGCAATATATTAGGAGTTGAAATGGACCAACAACTAAAAATGTTCCTGATTTTGCAGCCGTTATAAAGGTCACAAATAGAAACCATAGGACACGAAATCTCGCATGAAGTTAGAGTTTAGGACAGCGGGTACAATGGACCATTAATTTTGTGTGAAAAAATACCAGCATTACTTACAGGCCATATCCGAAATACACAAAAGGCGAACTTCTGGCTTTTTTATACCGATTTCGTTGACGAATATAGCCAAATATCGTAGACAAGCAAATCATATAGATAAGTCTCAATATGGAGATAAAGAGGGGCCTCTTGCTTTTGGAGATGATCGTAAAATATTTAGGGGTTCAAATGAACCAAAAACCGAAAAAAAATTCCTGATCACACAATTGATGACAATCGACACGCCTGAGAAGAGAGTTAATGACAGCGAAGAATTCTCGGATTTTGGATGACCATTGGATTATATTTAGCTTTAAAGTAGACCACATAACTAAAAGCACGACGGAGTGCATAAATATTGGGCAAATGTCCCTGGTGACATAATTTCAAAAACGAAATCTTCCAAAATGGATTTGGACATAAGGGGACTGCTAAGATATTTTAGTGTTGTAGGGTATCACATGGTCGGCCTCGCACGACTATAGCCTTTGCTTACTTGTTTTTTTTTTGTACTTTGCATGGAAAACGTTAAGTTTTTTCTAGTTGGGCGCCACCTTCAAATGTGTTTGAAATGCAATCAGCTATTATTCTGGGAATAGAATTGCAAGTGGCATCAAGGTGAAGACCTTTTACATGTTATCCTAATAGTGAAATGTGTTCAACTTAGAGAAGACCTTTTCCATTTCGTATAAGCCGAATTAATAAAAAAAATATTTGTCATGCATCAGTGTAATTTTGGCCAATAAACATACCTTCTATTAATATATCTAAAACAAATTATTGTTGTTGTCACACCAGTTACTAATAATTAGAAATAATGAATTTTAATTGGCCATTTATTTATTTTATTTTCCGTACGAAGGGGTAATTAAAATAAATAATAACAAAATACAAATTAACTGATTGTCTGAAATAACCTTGATGTTGTTGACTGTGCACACACATATACTCGTATATATGTAGATGTGTATGTCTGTGC